GATAAAAGAAGCAAACAAGAAAAAATGTGTATCGCTACATTCCCCTCTATAGATGGTTTTGAAAATCGGTATATGTATTTAATTTGGAGAAGAAATTATAAAATTATTACAACAAATTTTTTAAAAAAATCAGTCGAAAACAGAAAAAAGATCATTCTATCCAACTTCCTCACTTTTTTGGTTCACTATATCCACAAAAAATAACATTACACATGTATAGCAAGGCACGGGACCGAACATTTCGTTCACTATATCCGGGAGTTCACTATAAACCGTGTTCACTATAGCGGGGGTTGACTGTAGTCGTAAACTCAAAAAATTGGGTCAGCTGTTCATCAACGGTTACATATATAACATAAAATATTAGCCACAGAGTATTTCAATTATTTGAAATTCAATTTTTTCTTTTATTTTTTGTGTCATCTTATTATTTTACAAACTCATCTAACAAAAAAAAATTTTTTTTTTGCAGGTACTTTAATCAAGGAACGTAAATTATTCCACACGGGCAGCGGTTATGCTGTAGTGACTCCAGATACCTTCAGACTCCTGGCCATGTCCCCTCCTTTGGAGAGGCAAATGTTGTTGACCAACGAAGAAGCCATTGTCCGGTTACATGGCACTGCATATACTGTAGATGATGGCCGGACAACCTGCACCCAGACACAGCAACAAGAGATTCTCACTGCCTGGTCATCGGCCGAGAGGATTCTCGAACCCAGAAAACATGGTACATTTTTTTTTTAATTGTAACCGTTCACCCCCAGATGGCGTTGTAAAATACCCTAAAAATACAAAAAAAAAGAAAGAAAGAAGAAGAAGAAGAAGAAGAAAAAAAAAACCAAAATTTTTAATTTAATGTATAAATATTAAAAATAATACAAAAGTTATATAATGTATAGATAACGTTGCTTTAATACTTTTTAATATTTTATTATCAACAAATTAATCTTTTTTTTACATTTCAATCGTTGCATGATCTTTAATTTTTACTAAAATATTTAAGATATTTTTTTTAATACTTTTTGACTCGCACATTTTTTCATAAATATTTTATTATCAACGATATAGTCTTTTTAATTCTAACATTATGCTTAAATTTGTGATAAAATATCCATCATATTTTCGTCAATACTTTCTGATTAGTATATGTTTCAGCTGTTAAACATTTTTAACATAGAAGAAGTAGGTATAAAATTTTGAAAACCTTTAGGAAGTTGGAACGCGAGCATCAGCTGTAGTTATAGACATTTCTCAATCTGTCTGTAATAATATTTAATATGGAGAAACATCTCTCCACAGCTGCATTTGAAAACGGAATACTTAATAACCATCCTCATTATTTTAAATAATTTTAATTCATATTCACCAAACGTACAGGTTGATCGAGCTAAATAATAACTTGCTGCATTCAATAAAGCGGTTAAGTAATAAAATTAAATCTTTTTGTTTTGGTTTAACATATTGATTTTCATATTACCGTCTCACATATTCAGTTACAAAATTTGATATTAGAACGTAACCAAAATGAAACTAGTAAAATTCACAAATAACCATAAAACAAATTCCCCTAAAATACCCACTGAAGATAAAAAAAAATCCCCCTAAATTTAGGGGGAAAACCCCCAATCTGGCAACACTGCCGTTCATTTTAGTTAAAAAAGTTTTATACCTCTCTGTAAAGTGACGGATTGTTTTCAGTAGGTTATTTTTATGAAACGATGTTTTCTAACTATAATCCCCGTGGCACTATGGCAAAGTCCTAGAACGTTACAGAGTTCTGATTTTTTTTTTTGATAAGTTAAAAATAAAAAAAAATCTTCTCTACAGAAATTAACACTTAATATTTGAATCATGCGTTTAGATAATCACTTTTTGATGTGCTCAATTTACACCGACAGTATCGTAAATCGATGTAATGTTTCTATTGTATTTTCGGCAGTCAACGTGAGGATTTTAAATATCTCGATATATTTCAAACAATATGGAAAATTCGAATTGTTCATTTGAGTATTTACTTTTTAAGGCAATAATTCCGAATTTTTTGGCAGTTATTGCGATTGATTTCTCCATAGTTTTTAAATTTTTTAAACGATATTATTGATGACAACAACCTAATCTCGAAACGAAACACACATTTGAGGAGTCCAATTCGCGTGATTTCGTCATCGATCTTTTTTTTTCTTCTTTGGCAATTGCTGCTACGGATTTCAAGATTTTTAATTATTTTTTTAATTGTGATGATTATTTGCAAAATGCGAAGGAAATAATTAGTGTGTGTGCGAGCATATCACCCATAGTATTACAATAAAAAATTCAATTAAAAAAATGTAAACACAGTGCTTCTGTTATTTTAAATGAGATACGTTTGTTATTATGAAAAGTCTCTTGCACAAATATATGAGTGTAAAGAGAGTTTTGTCGCTCGAAAAAATTTTGCTGCAGGGACAATAATATTTCTGCAGAAATGCTTCATTTAAATAAAACAATTGGATGATCTCGGTTATTTAAAGGATTACAAAAACCTTTAACATTTAATGGCGGCCCGCGAAGCCTTTTTTTGTGGCCCGCGAACTAAAATATATTAGTTGTCATTTTTTTTT